CAACCAATGGGGAAGCGGAAAAGACCATTTCAAATAGAAGATATTCGTTATATGTACATATATTTACCCATATTTACCCCAAATTCTCAAAACAAGATTGGCCGACAAAGCATTTTCAAATAGAAGATATTGTCAAACAACCAATGGGGAAGCGGAAAAGACCATTTCAAATAGAAGATATTCATTATATGCACATATATTTACCCATATTTACCAAATTCTCAAAACAAGATTGGCCGACAAAGCATTTTCAAATAGAAGATATTGTCAAACAAGGCAACCGGTTGACTCGGCGCCCTTGTAAGGGTGACGAATTTGAAATTCTGATTTTTGAGGCTAAGAGACAAAATGCTGGTATTTGCAGGAGTCGTCAAAAAATGTTTGCAACGTGGACATTCATTTCGATTGGCAGGCGTGTGGCTCAAGAGTGAAAATGTGCGTTTCGCCTGCGCGGTGACTCGATTTTGCTCTTCAAGGGTCAAGAAAAAAACATTAGAAATTTATGATTTTCAATCATCCGAATCATATCAGGGCGACATTCACTCTTCCAGTTTTTTCCTCTTCTCGACGCTAGCGGTGCCGCTGGCAATGCAGAAGCCACAGTCTGCAACAAGGCAGCGTTGTGACGCCATGTCCAGCTGTAGGCCCAAGTGTACCTTTTTTTGTACACGTTTTGTTTTTTTGTGGGGCATCGACGGAGGTCGCCATTTTTTCAAGTGTTTCCATGCCATCCAGTCTGCAACAAGGCAGCGTTGTGACGCCATGTCCAGCTGTAGGCCCAAGTGTACCTTTTTTTGTACACGTTTTGTTTTTTTGTGGGGCATCGACGGAGGTCGCCATTTTTTCAAGTGTTTCCATGTTCCATCCATTTGTTGGGTACCAGCAACAATGGCTCTATAGGATTTATCCCACAAACGACCTCGAAAATGATAAGTCTTAGTCTTAGTAAAGATATTTTGTTTGTGGTTGACTTGGGCCAACTTGAACCTTTTGTGGGGATAATCTTTGACACAACTGACAGCATGTGCAACGTTTGCATCTTCCGTAACGTAAAGGAAGTGCGTAAAGGAAGTGCTACACTCGGGGTTGTCACAGTTGAATACCCCCATGCCCCCCACCCCGTGTAAGGAAGAATCGTCGAACGTTAAGCATCCCACCCCCCACCCACCCCCCCACAAGCAGGGAAATTTGCAACCCTTCCAAGGGATAATGGCACATCTCGAAATTGGCAACCCTTCCAAGGGCGCCGTATCAGCCGCATGCCTCAAACAACCAATGGGGAAGCGGAAAAGACCATTTCAAATAGAAGATATTCATTATGCCAACCCCAAATTCTCAGAACAAGATTGTGCGACAAACAATTTTTAGATAGAAGATATTCGGTTGGATGATCCATCAAGTTTGTGCTTTCGATGTTGGTCTAAATGGTTTTTAAATAGAAGATATTAGTTTCGACCCTCCCGGGACCATGGTTGCGGAGAGTGCCAAAGTAGCTCCAACATCCCGGATGTTCTACCATTTTGGGTCATTGAATTAATTTATTTTCTATTTGAAATGGATTTTTCCGCGCGTCCAAACCCGTTTCAAATAGAAGATCGGTTTTCCGATAATTCCTGAATATTTTCTATAATAACGGTATGGAGTATATAAATATATTTAAGGGCTGCCGCCCTTGCCGCCGACCCCGGAAAAGAATGTGAAGAAGCCGAGGGAGGTCCACGACCTCGATTCTGTTTTTTGGTGGCTGCAGAAAGCAACGGATCATGCAAAGGCATTGGATTGCCCAGGGTGGGAGACTTGTGGAAAACAGTTTCGCGTTCTCAATGGGTGCGTCCAGCCAACATTCTGCAACTTTCACAGCTGCCCAACCTGCGGCACTCGCATTAAAAGCACCAAGCAAGCTGGACGAATTCAAAGCAAGCACCGGAAACCCAATGGCAGAATATGTCCGCGAAAAGAATGGCGAATTGACTTCTAGCTGACTGCGCGCCCAAGCCCTAAAATAATGCACCTGCCGGACAGGAAAATACCATGGCACTGAAGGACGGAATGGTGTAAAAAACACAAATTTCCAGCGCTTGGCAGCTCTTGGCAACTTGTCCACATGGCCTTCCTGCTACCCTGCTCCTGCTGTAAGCTGCTCGGCTGCTACTTTGGTTGTTACTGCTGCGCTGCTTCTGCTGCGGCTGCTGCAACTGCTTGCCACATCTTTTAGCCAACAAATTGCCTTAAAAAGACGCACCTCCCGAACAGGAAAACACCATGGCACTGAGGGACGGAATGGTGCCCTGCAATGAGAATCCACGAGGCCTAACGTCCCTTCTGAAACCCTAGTTAAAAAGCATAAATTTCCAGCTCTTGGCAGCTCTTGACAACTGTGTCCATTGACAACTGTGTCCACATGGCCTTCCTGCTGCCCTGCTCCTGCTGTAAGCTGCTCGGCTGCTACTTTGGTTGTTGCTGCTCCGCTGCTCAAAGGAAGGAATGGTTTCCGGATGCTGGACGCACGACGCCAAAGTTCAAGGTAACGCGCTATCAATTCCCGCTGGCTCCGGACTTTGCCGACACATTCCATGGCGCACAGGGTAGCACCGCAGAGCCGGGCGTCATCCCCCATCTCTGTGCCGTGGATCCACTTGAATGGTGCCCTGCAATGGTAATCCACGGGGCCTAACGTTCCTTCTGAAACCTTAGTTAAAAAACATTCAAGAACACAAGGTCCAACTCTTGACAGCTCTTGGCAGCGTTTTGCACCTGTTTGCCACCTCTGCAGCCCGCAACTGTTTACCACATCGTTTAGCCAACAAATTGCCTTAAAAAGACGCACCTCCCGGACAGGAAAACACCATGGCACTGAGGAACGGAATGGTGCCTTGCAGTGATAATCCACGAGGCCTAACGTCCCTTCTGAAACCCTAGTTACAAAACACAAATCTCCAGCTCTTCGCAGCTCTTGGCAGCTTATCCACATGGCCTTCCTGCTACCCTGCTCCTGCTGTAAGCTGCTCGGCTGCTACTTTGGTTGTTGCTGTTGCGCTGCTTCTGCTGCGGCTGCTGCGACTGCTTACCACATCTTTTAACCAATAAATTGCCTTATTAAAAAGACGCACCTCCCGGACAGGAAAGCACCATGGCACTGAGGAACGGAATGGTGCTTTGCAATGATAATCCACGAGGCCTAACGTCCCTTCTGAAACCCTAGTTAAAAAGCATAAATTTCCAGCTCTTGGCAGCTCTTGGCAACTTGTCCACATGGCCTTCCTGCTGCCCTGCTCCTGCTGTAAGCTGCTCGGCTTCTACTTTGGTTGTTGCTGCTGCGCTGCTTCTGCTGCAACTGTTTGCCACATCTTTTAGCCAACAAATTTAGCCAACAAATTGCCTTAAAAAGACGCACCTCCCGGACAGGAAAACACCATGGCACTGAGGGACGGAATGGTGCCCTGCAATGAGAATCCACGAGGCCTAACGTCCCTTCTGAAACCCTAGTTAAAAAACATATAAATTTCCAGCTCTTCGCAGCTCTTGGCAACTTGTCCACATGGCCTTCCTGCTACCCTGCTCCTGCTGTAAGCTGCTCGGCTGCTACTTTGGTTGTTACTGCTGCGCTGCTTCTGCTGCGGCTGCTGCAACTGCTTGCCACATCTTTTAGCCAACAAATTGCCTTAAAAAGACGCACCTCCCGGACAGGAAAACACCATGGCACTGAGGGACGGAATGGTGCCCTGCAATGAGAATCCACGAGGCCTAACGTCCCTTCTGAAACCCTAGTTAAAAAACTTAAATCTCCAGCTCTTCGCAGCTCTTGGCAACTTGTCCACATGGCCTTCCTGCTACCCTGCTCCTGCTGTAAGCTGCTCGGCTGCTACTTTGGTTGTTACTGCTGCGCTGCTTCTGCTGCGGCTGCTGCATGGCACTGAGGAACGGAATGGTGCTTTTCAATGATAATCCACGAGGCCTAACGTCCCTTCTGAAACCCTAGTTAAAAAGCATAAATTTCCAGCTCTTGGCAGCTCTTGGCAACTTGTCCACATGGCCTTCCTGCTGCCCTGCTCCTGCTGTAAGCTGCTCGGCTTCTACTTTGGTTGTTGCTGCTGCGCTGCTTCTGCTGCGGCTGCTGCAACTGTTTGCCACATCTTTTAGCCAACAAATTTAGCCAACAAATTGCCTTAAAAAGACGCACCTCCCGGACAGGAAAACACCATGGCACTGAGGGACGGAATGGTGCCCTGCAATGAGAATACACGAGGCCTAACGTCCCTTCTGAAACCCTAGTTTAAAAAAAATATTTAATAAAAAACACAAATTTCCAGCGCTTGGCAGCGCTTGGCAACTTGTCCACATGGCCTTCCTGCTACCCTGCTCCTGCTGTAAGCTGCTCGGCTGCTACTTTGGTTGTTGCTGCTGCGCTGCTTCTGCTGCGGCTGCTGCAACTGCTTGCCACATCTTTTAGCCAACAAATTGCCTTAAAAAGACGCACCTCCCGGACAGGAAAACACAATGGCACTGAGGGACGGAATGGGTAGTAGTAGTTGTATCAGAAAATAGTAGTAGTTGTTGTTGTGTCAGAAAATCCTTTTCCTTTTCGCGCTCCCCCTTGCGCAGCCGGGGTCGGCGGATATATATGTATAAGCATATGGTACATTGTTTGCAGTGGTTTCCCGAATTTCAGTGCAAGTGTCAGTGTAAAAGAATTGGTGCAATGTTCCCTGGCAATGTTCCCTGCAATGATCCCGTGGTTGCAGCGGTACTGCCGTTGAGGTGGCACAAGCATTGCTGGAGAGCCGCGTGCAGAGCCTCCAGGCCTATTTTCCAAATCATGCAGAGTTTTGACCAAGTCAGCTCGATCCTAGATGTATTGGAAGAATGTCACTCGTACTCATCAGATTGATGGCAATTGCAACATACACCTGTGGGTCTTGAATTATTTGAAGCTGGAGCGTAATGAGAGAGACAAACGCTCAAACCTCGGAGAAACATCCGCCAATCCTTTCCCTGCCCTCATGGTCCATGTGTGGCCAGCATCGCCAGAATTGCAGGAACAGCTGGAAAGTCTCAAATCAGAGCTTGAGGTGCAAGATGCTGATGTGGAGCAATGACAGGTTTGTTACGTAATGGACCATTTCAATCCATTTCATATGTTTGGGTCATGTGCAGATTCTGGAGCTGTTTCAAGAACATTCAGGAGTGCACAGAGTCTGTACACAGAGTTGGGATGCCTTGGTACCGTTTTATATGATTTTGATAAACCTTTATCATGCCTTTGTGCGCATTGTGGAATTTGGAACTTTAAGTCAGTAACTCAATGTGTTTTCTTCAAAACAAAACAAGTAATTTGCATTTGCAATATCTTGACAGGCAGCTCATGTCGCAGAAGAAGCACGACGCTGTCAGGCAGAGGCGGCAGAGGCCAGAGGATGCCCGTCTAACTTTTACATCCCTACATGTTATACCTCAGCAGATCAAAGCCTCTCATCGCATGATTAGCATGTTATGTACAAAGCAGCTTGGATATGTTTGGGTTCATCCAGAAGACACCATTACATGCTGCAACGTGGTGGTGGCTGACAGCTAAGTGCTCAGTGACAGGCACGCTGCGAAGATCTGCAGCAAGCCGCAAAGACCCGCGAAGAGGCCATCAAAGATTGATTTTTGTCGTGCACATGTCTGGTGATGTGCAGTTAAAGTTTGGCCGGCAAGCCGACCTCCCCTTGAATAGAGAGTAGCAATGCGGTGTTGTCATGACGCTTTGTGCTATGGGCAGCTTCATTACCATTTTCTAGTTCTATTCACTTGTTGGCTCCACCGTCTTTCTTAGAGAAACGGTCTTGATGGATTTGGTACTCCCAGATGTGAATCAGTGAATCATGTTCTTGACTGTTCTTGATGTTACACAGAAGTGAAATGCTGGACCTTGTGAAACAGCATGCGAAAGGAGAGGTCCTTGGAGAGGGAAGCCTTTCGATCACAGCTTCACAACCTCAAGGAGTTTGAGCGCTATTCATGGCCCCGGGATCAATATGCACCAACCAGACTCTGAGAGACAACATTTTAGACCATGAGACATGGATCATGGATCTCATATCCTAGTACTGGGTATGTACAGTATATAAATATGCATGAATATGCTATGCATTTAATCATATGTTGTTGCCTATCTCAAAGATACTGATACTACATGATACTGAGGTGTGGCATGTTTTTGTCATCAGGCGCTTTTTATAAATGCAATGAATGATATTGTCATATAATGTAATATAATACATATATATATATACATTGTATGCCACAGATTTTGCCTTGAAATTTCTGAGGAGGAGCTCAACAGTGCTCACTGTTCCGAAATCTCTGCGGAGGCGCGCCTCCTATCAAAAGACAGCAATGCTGCAATGCTTCACTAATTATTGTAAGTATGAAATTAGAGAAAGTGGGATTAAACATGATTGAACTGAGATCCTTTAATACCTACTTATAATTATCGCTTTTATATCCTACACTTTGTGTTTCTCTATGCTTCTTCCAGTTTTCTTTTTCTGTTGGTGATTCCTCAGTCATCGCATCCCAGGCAGAACTCCGTGCTGCACTTCAGGCCGCCCAGCGAAGTGCCACAGAAGCTGAAATGCAGGCGGAATCGGGCGGCTTATGGCAGGGTGAATCGTGTTTTCTCACATTGTGCACCAAATGAAGCTGGAGATTGAATTTGAATTTGAATCTATAGGTCTTAATGGACATTTGGGCACATTCGCTTGATCCAACATCCAGTTGCGGTAGTCATGTGGGCGTGTCCCTTCATGGGGCTTGATCTAAGGATTGCCAGTAAAGCCAACGTTTGTTTGAAGTGATCTAAAATTATAACTATATACACATAAAATTACTGAAATTTGGTGGCAACGGGCACTGCTATAACAAGCGCATTCAACTTGAACGATGTTATGGTGAGATGAAGAGTGTTTTCAATACCAAATCACTGAGCCTCAACAGATCAGCATTTTTCCGATGAGCAACAGTCTAGAGTGTAAAACAAATGGTTTCACTGATTCAAAGAGTCAAGCAAAACCAGCGATGCAAAGTATTTTGGGCTGTCAGTGGATCCATTCTGTTGCCCTTGGGCGTGGCGCGTGTGAGATTTGCAATTAGGCCAGAGAAGTGGCAGCGGAACTGGCAAGCTGCCGAGAGGAGGCTCATGATGGTTTTGGTGTTGTGGAGGTAGCAGAGATTAATAGCTGTCCCTACTTTGCCATCCTTGCCGTCCTCAAAGATGCTATGCCGGTGATGAGGATGGATGATGATGGGAATGACAACGACAGTGACAATGACGATGATGAAACGCGTCTGCAAAATACAATAGCTGTTGACTTTGTGCAAAACTGTAGGGCCAGCAAGCTTCGCTCCGAGCCAATGCTGCTGAGGAGCGTTTTGCAAAGTGCAGGGCTTGTGTGACTCTTCTGTGTCTTTATCAGGAACCCTTCTCTTTTGAAGCTCGAGGTTGTTTTGTTGATACACTTGCCATCAGAGCATTGGACATCTTCTTACCGTCATGGTGTCTATAGTCTTTGCATTGAGGTTAGAAGCGGGAACCGCTCAGTGGAAGGAGGCGACTGCTAGCCGCTAGAGGTTTGTTGCGACCAAGATGGACATGATGTGGGGTTGAAGATGCCTGGGGTGACCACCCAATTGACTGAAGGCGTGTATGAGAGTCATATTTTTCATGCCAACGTCAATGCATTATAATTCTTAGCAAGATGATGCAAGATGTATGACTTAAATTGACTTAATGTTTTATCGGCATGAACCGACAGCGGACTTGAACACAGGTCTTGTGCCCGAAATTTGGACAGGAAGATACAGGAAGATACAGAAAATTTGGTCTGTTTATGTCTGTTTTGTCCCTGCTGTTTTGGGATTCTTCCTCGTGTCACCTATATGCGAAGCTTGAATTGAACAGTTGCACAAATTCGTCCAGGTCTTGCATGTTCAGCCACTTCAGTTTAGGGCTGAAGCCGTCAGGTAGAGAAATCTTTGAAGGATGAGGTTCTTGAAGCCCGCAGAACCTGCGAAAGTGCAAGACCCAGTAGCACCAAGTGGCATCAAGCGTCAGTAAACCATAGGTACCAAAGCAAAGGTCATCAAAGGTCGGCATTATCATCAGCTCTTGCACCTACTCAGTCATGGCTCGCCCTGCACGCTTTCAACACATGCGCGCGACATTACTGATTCATTATTTTGTATTTTTTGATATATGTTTCCTTGTTCCAAGTTGTGTGTTGCGTTGTGTTGCATTGTGTTGTATAGGGAAGAACATTGTTGTGTTGCTGGCCATTGTTGGCCTCAAAATCATGGTGGCACAATGCCCGGAGGCCACAAACAACTGATTCGTGCACTGCAACAGTCCATGGCAGAGCAGAAACAGCAGGCAGAAATGGAAAGCTGCAGAAGCTGCAGCTGCGGCCCTTTCTAAAGATTCTGACATATTTTGACATATTCTGACATTTCTCTGGCATTCTTTGGCCAATTTTGTGATCCATGTTTGGCAGCCCTTGCTGGTTTTGCTCGTATGGTTTGAAACGTTCACAATTTGCCGGGAGGCCTGTTGTTTAGCTCAAGATCGGAAGCATCACTTTCTCACATATATATATACCACTCCATGTATCTGGACTGGACACTGTAGACAAAAAAAATGCACCATAATGTGATGTTTCGCGTAATTTATGTTTAAGGTGAAGTATATAATTAGATGCTACTATTGGCAATCATGTATATAATCATGATCAATCATGCGCCCGTTTGCTAGCAGGCAGATTCAGAGGCAGAAGATTTGCGAAGACAGTGTTGCTGCCTCGTTCTTGAACATGAAAATACGAAACCTCTTGAAACTTCCCAGGAAGCATGCCCGTATCATAATCTTCTAATGGGTGATGGCAAAAAACATAGAACAGATGAGAAAAGCCTTCTGGAAGAACCGGCTAAGAAGCCGCGTAACAGAACCACATGTTGGGAGAAAACAAGGCACATTGCATGCTGCACAGGGGATCCCTACAGGGCTACCTGTTTTCTAGCACCTGTATTTTTGTGCACTATGCATGGGTTTTCGAAGTTTCAATGTGCGCAAACAGTGTGATTCGTGGTTCTCTGACCAGCAGCCAGATTGTCAGAGACGACTCCTATGCGAACCGTGTTCGGGCGCCAAAAAGCTGTCATCATGGGCAACCAGCTCCTTTCTCCATGCGCGTTCGGCGAGCAAACACAACAAACACCTTAAGTGTTCATGAGAATTGGAATAATTAGATACATTGTCGACATTCTCTGACGAAAAACATACCTATGATTCACTATGATCGAAATGGGGCGCTCAGGTCTGCTGGATCGCGCAAGCTCACTTCCGACAGTTTCAAGTTCTCTCAGGTGTGAGTTTTATATAGACCATGTTGACTCTGCATTCTGTTCTAGAGTTGGTGTGAACAATGTAATCACAGCAGTTGCTTGTAGAGGTGCCAGCTATTCTTATGTAGACATTGCCCAGCATGCTTAATGTCAGCAGCAGGCTGCGTGATGGCATTTCATTATTTTCATGCTTCTCCATGACAGTCAAGGTCTTACCAACTAGCCATGGCTAGATGCGCCAACTAAAGCCTTTTCGGGATTCCTACTGTACAGTGCCTTCTTGGGTAGCCCAATCTGTAGGCCAGTGTCCAAGAAGAGGAGCAGGAAGAGGAAGAGGAGGAGGAAGAAGTAGCGGAGGCACCAGCAGCAGAGGAGGAGGCGTGGATATCACAACCACCAACTAACCCAAGAGCAGAATCAGTTCGCAAAAGATGTTGCTTATTTCATCATATTTCATCACAGTTTTCCGGAATGGACGGAAAGCAAGACACTTCCCGCTTGCCGCTTGCCGCTTGCTCATTCCTACAAGTAGAAGTTGTTGCGAGTCCTGACGGGTCCTTCCAACTCTGGCTTTGTTGACAATGCCACTTTGAAGCAGTGGTTTGTTGGCTAAATTAGCAAACAAATTTCAAGCTGAGCCTCGACATGTATCAACTCCGGGTTTTGCTTCGCAGAGGCGCCTGTTGCCCCAGTGCAGCCAGACAAGACAGAGGCTTTGGAAGAAATGCCCCTGGGACACCTGGATGTAATGTCCAGCCTCCCGCCTCCCTGGGACCTGAACCCACTTCTAGGTTGAACCCACAACAGAACAAGACATAACAAGACTATAAAAGAAAAAAATGGGAAATATTGGGAAAAATAAAAAGCAACCGGCTTCTGGGAACACGCTGGAAACACTTCTTCATTTCTGCAAGACATGACAGGTCGCTCCTGACGCCGGGCCCTTGTTACATTATATTACATATGACCCTACATAGTTGACACGGACAACGCCTTACACAAAAGGACGATCAGAATCGTGGCTTAAGGGAATGCAATATAATGCGACGGTGATACCCGGTAAGTGAATATATTAATGTAATATACATCCTCAGTCCATCCAAAGAAGCTTTGAAAGTCGCTTATCCACCTCTCTACTCACTGGAGTTGGAATGACAGCCTCCAGCACATAGAATTCCTGAATGTGGATGACTGCACTATCCTCCACACGCAGTTCATTGATATTCATCAACTCATCGTTCAAGGATGTTCTTCATCCATCTATGCATTTGACTTTCCATCAATTACTGGATCATCCATCCATCCATTCATCCATCCATTGCACCAGGTCTTGGGTCACTTGAGCGATACCTTGCTGGACCACCTGGAATCTGCTGACCCGCAGTGAACCCAGATGCAAGCACTGGGAGGGAAGCATTTCGAGGAAACTGAGAAACCATGTTTTTTGACGCGTAAATGCATTTTTAATCCATAAAGTTCTATAAAGATCCACCAAGATCCAAAAAGTACAATACTGACAATACTTCTAGGTACTGTACTCGTACTGGGGTGAAGTGCAGATGTTCTCTTAAGCCAATTCTCGATCGTTTCCAAACCAACTTGATGCGTTTGATGGAAGCTGTGGAAATCTACAGATATCTCATGAACTTGGCGCTAGCTGGACGGCTCAAGATCTTCAGAATATTTCAGAATCCCCACCAATCTCCATCCAATCTCCATCCCCATCAAGCTCCATCAAGCTCCATACATTCAATGGCCGCAGGTCTACTCGTCGACCCAGCAAAGGATCAGCACCTCCGGAAGCTGCTGGGCACGAAGAGGTGGGAATCGCAATGGCATGGGCGCTTGAGGACAGATCAGGCAGATCAGGAAAGATGCTGACCTCTGACCTCAAGATTCATCAACATGTTGCATCATTTTGCATCATTTTTGCTAGAACACAGCTTGATAGGATTATCAGATCAAACCACAGGAAAAGCAGCGAAGATGAGCACGCAAATTCTGGCAAATCATGAGAACATTGTAGAAATTTGCAGAATCATTGTAGAATAATTGTCTATCATTGTCTATCAAATTGTAGAATCATGTGCAAATTGTTTGTTGTTGCGGCTTTGTAGCGACACCTGTAGTGACAATGTGTCGGGGCCGTATGGGGCCGTGCAGGTGGCCCATCTTTGGGATCGCATCAACTATTTGGAGAAGCGCTGCAGGAGCTACGTTCACTTTCTAAGTTCACAGCAGACATCACAAAACGATTCACCAAACGGAACGATGGAGAAGCCATGAGAAGCTTGGATACTGCCATGAAACATCATGAAACGTAGTTTTGCTATGTTTTGCTCATTGTGGCAGTGTTCCTTGTTTGGGGGAGGTTTCAGATCTGTCGTAGGTACAAATTCTTAGCGGAAACAAGATGTTGAGTGAGCAGCTTCTAGCTATTCAGTTTCAGTCGAGAGTTCTTTGGGACGGAAGTTTCGAATCGCTTGCCCTCACAAGTCCAGACCAATTAGAGATATTAATTCGAATTCTTAGAAGAGGCTGCAGCTGAACATGCTGAACTACTCGTACCTTGCACTTCACAGATCTTCACAAATCTTCACAGATCTTCACAGATCTTCATGTTACAGTTGTTACATGTTACTTTGGTCGGGAGACTTCAGGACTCTCCAAAAAAAGTTGGATGCTCGGCCCATCATCTACCAAGCACCGACAGGTGTGATATGTCTCGGGATTCCGCAGAATGCCGGATTTGGTTTGAAATTTGACAAAGTTTGAAATCAGCTGGGGTTACAGAATCCAAATTCGTATGCCTACTCTGAAAAGGACTCGTCCGCATAAGGCCCATTGTGGCAGCCGGATGGGAATTGTGGCTTGCATTGTTTCATCTTCTTTCAGACGCAGTAGTCGATCTTTTGCCCGAAGTGTTCCCGGGTTCCCAGATACGGGAATCCTGAGGCCCGAAACACAAAACATCACAACAGATAAACATTCCCCGACTACAAATAGCCCATTTTGCGTTAGCAGCTGGGGTTGGACTCCAGCGATGACTGCTCATCCATTGCCAGGTTATGGTCCCTTGAACTTGGAAGCTGGGAATGAAGTTGCCGGAGGCAAGGGTTGTGCTGGCAGATGGATGATGTGTGTAAGCCATAGCCTCATAGCCATTAAAAACTATCGGCCGCTTGAATCCACTTGATAGAACCAAGACATAGAAGCCTTGGTGAGAAAAGTATAGGTTCCCCTCACACATCCAACTCTGAATAGCCTCAAGATTGACATACTATCATACTAAATTATCATACTGGTATTTTCGGATACTTTGCCATTGCTTATTGCTTCTCTGGAACTGTTAAATTGCTAGTAGTTGGGCGCCCTGATTTTAGGATCAGCGACTTGGGAACCGTGGCTCCGAGAGGTGTGGGAACCAGGTGGTTGTTTCGAAGATGTTCAGAGGGAGATTGAGATGACATAGTCATACAGTCAATATATAGTCAATATTATTGCGTCAATCTTCTGAATCCTGGTCCTATGTCTTTGGGATCTTTGGATATCTTTGGCCCATGCTATAGAGGATTGGCGATTATGAAATTCCAGGTCTTCGGGAAAACTCTGGTGAAATTCAGTGCTGAAGATGCCAATCCTGGCAGGGGGAATTAGTGGTGACAAGATGTGACAAGTTGTCCTGCAGACGCTCCAACAAAAAAAGAGGAAAACACAACAGGTCACGGGCCCCGTGGCAAGACGCTTGCACTTGCCCCAGGCACGTTTTTTTTGAGCTTGTGTCGGAACAAGTGTCAGTCATCTCAAGAATATTCAACTGTACTACAACCGTGCATAGACCCTCTCAGAATAGGCAGGGCAGTAGTTGCAAGATGGAGAACAGAGTTTGTAGTAGAAGAGGCCTTATTTTTTGATGTCCTGATGTTCCCTTTCCCCTTCTTAGTTTTGTTTGGAGCAGTTTTGAGAGGGGAAATATCTTTGCTCAAGTAGTCAACCTCTGTTCATTCCTCGGAACTCTTCAGGTCAGGTGACTTTTTAATTTTGGTCGATACATTAGACATCACATGACATCACTAGATCACTATGGATGGGCCCATGGACCATGATTGGATCACCAGAGTTCTAGTTCTATATGACAGGTTTTCCTGGCCGTGTCCACTGCCCGATGCCCTCAGGGTTCAGAGCAGCGTGTCGCAAGCGTAGCTGCGCACTTTGGTGGCATAGAAAGGGCCAGGAGCAGATAGACTCAAGACACATTGGCCGTCGTATGTTGAAAGCCAGTACTGCAGTTGGTCTCATGATGTGGTGAAGATTTGGAGAAGTTGAGAAAACATAGAGCGCACTTTTACTAATCGAGAGTCAGTATGCATAATGCATTGGGTCACAGGCTCCTCTCAGGATCCTTAGGAACTCTATGGAACTCTACAGTCAAGGTTACATGCACATCATCGGAACCAGAGAGGGACATGCTGCTTGGAATGGAGAAGTTGGAAAGCGCCTTTGTAGTGTCCAAAGATGTCCAAAGCTTGAAAATGAAAGGATGCGGTCAATCCACCTTTGCAAGACTCGTAATTGCGGATTTTAAGGCTGAATGGGACACAAGGTGAAACAAGCGGACATATGACCTGACACCTGACAAGTTTGGAAGTTTAGTGGCTCCTAGACCGTGATGCACGGGTTTGTATATAAATCTCTCCATCCTCCAGGCCCCTTTGCCAAGCAATCGAAGTGCGGGGGCACCCAAGAGCAATCTTATGGATCTTTTTCCCAAAAGCATCTCCGATGCTTGGGTTCTCGTTTAGGCACTTTGTCGCGAGGGAGCGATACGGAAGTGACGAAAGGGTGGACGGAGGGGAAACCGTGGGAAATAGCTTGTGGAGAGCTCCGGTGGAAAGGAGCGATACGGGAGTGACGACAGGGTGGACGGAAGGGAAACCGTGTGAAATAGCTTGGGGAGAGCTCCGGTGGAAAGGAACGATACGGGAGTGACGACAGGGTGGACGGAAGGGAAACCGTGTGAAATAGCTTGGGGGAGAGCTCCGGTGGGAAGGAGCGATACGGGAATGACGACAGGGTGGACGGAAGGGAAACCGTGGGAAATAGCTTGGGGAGAGGCGCGGTGGGAAGGAGCGATACTGGATTGACGACAGGGTGGACGGAAGGGAAGCCATGTGAAATAGCTTGGGGAGAGCTCCGGTGCTTGGAGGGCCGGGGGCGGTTATAAGTACATAGCAAGGTTAGAGCACTTATATAACCTACTTACTAAGTGCTGTAACCTACCTTATAAGTGGTGCGAAGTTACCTTATAAGTGGTGCTAAGCGGTTTGCTGTCTCTAAGTCACTTACATAAGTAGCTACTGTTTTCGGCCAAGTATATATTATGTTCCATAAATGATTACGCAACTTATGGCACTTGGCTAACCACTTGGCCTATGTGGGCTAAGTGAGATAGGCAGCTTACGCCCTAAGTGGCCTAAGTCCTGTAAAGGACTTACGCTACTTACGTATCTAGGCTAAGTGCACTTACAAAAATTCGCGGAAACACAAAATCCCGTTTCACATTTGGTGGAAACACAAAATTCTGAATGGTTTTTTTGTGGAAACACAAAATTCCGTTGCAAGAATTTTGTGGAAACACAAAAATCCAAATCGCATTTTGCGGAAATACAAAAGCGCTCGCGGACTTAGGTAAGTGCTGTAAGCAATTTACGTAAGTGCGCTAAGTGCTGTCCCAGTAAGTCCACTAAGTGACATACTGTAAGCGCTGTATCCAAATAGTAAGTGCCGTATGTACCTAGTATGTCCCTTATGTGCTTATAACCGCCCCCGGGCCTCCAAGTGGGAAGGAGCGATACGGGAGTGACGACAGGGTGGACGGAAGGGAAACCGTGTGAAATAGCTTGGGGAGAGCTCCGGTGGGAAGGAGCGATACGGGAATGACGACAGGGTGGACGGAAGGGAAACCGTGTGAAATAGCTTGGGGAGAGCTCCGGTGGGAAGGAGCGATACAGAAGCGACAAGAGGGTGGACGGAAGGGAAACCGTGTGAAATAGCTTGGGGAGAGCTCCGGTGGGAAGGAGCGATACGGAAGCGACAAGAGGGTGGACAGAAGGGAAACCGTGTGAAATAGCTTGGGGAGAGCTCCGGTGGGAAGGAGCGATACAGAAGCGACAAGAGGGTGGACGGAAGGGAAACCGTGTGAAATAGCTTGGGGAGAGCTCCGGTGGGAAGGAGCGATACGGAAGCGACAAGAGGGTGGACGGAAAGGAAACCGTGTGAAATAGCTTGGGGAGAGCCCCGGTGGGAAGGAGCGATACTGGAAAGACGACGGGATGGACAGAAGGGAAACCGTGTGAAATAGCTTGGGGAGAGCTCCGGTGGGAAGGAGCGATACGGGAGTGACGACAGGGTGGATGGGGAGAGCTCCGGTGGGAAGAAACGATACTGGAATGACGACAGGGTGGACGGACGGGAAACCGTGTGAAACAGCTTGGGGGGAGCTCCGGTGGGAAGGAGCGATACGGAAGCGACAAGAGGGTGGCGGAAGGGAAACCATGTGAAATAGCTCGGGGAGAGCTCCGGTGTGAATGAGCGATACGGGAGTGACGACAGGGTGGATGGAAGGGAAACCGTGTGAAATAGCTTGGGGAGAGCTCCGCTAAGAAGGAGCCATACGGGAGTGACGACAGGGTGGACGGAAGGGAAACCGTGGGAAATAGCTTGGGGAGAGGTGCGGTGGGAAGGAGCGATAATGGATTGACGACAGGGTGGACGGAAGGGAAGCCATGTGAAATAGCTTGGGGACCCTAAGTCTCTTTTTCTATTAAATTTAGTAGACTTAAAATTTAGGTAAATTTCGTGGTTTAGTAGACGAACTTTAGGTAAATTTCCTAGTAAATAGTAAAGTAAATGAAATTTAGTAGCATTAGTAAATTGATTTAGTAGTACTAGTAAATTGATTTAGTAGTACTAGTAAATTTTTAGGGCATGATTTTCACATTGTAAAAACTAGTTACTTTGTTCTAAGAGTTAGCACATTTTGTGCATGTTTCATTGCTTATGCTCAGCGATTGTATTTGTAATTTTGTGAATTTTTGAAACACTAACTAGAAGAACGACATGATTTGAGGCTTGGGACTGTGCTTCACTGCTGCTAAAAATATGAGATTTTTTCCACCAGTAATTTTTGGACATTTACGTAGTTACTTGAGTTTACTTGTGATTAGTTGTAGTTACCTGAGCTTACATGTGACTCAAGTAAAATCTATTCAGGTGTGGCCATAAGTACCCACAAGATCCCATAAGTAACTATATTTTTTAGGGTATGCAATCCATAAGTTCAATTGTTTACTTGCAATAGTGTGCAAAGCCAATCCAGCATAACAAATTCAGCACAAGAATGCCAGTATAGAAGCATCCAAAAATGTGTGTTGGTTTTAAGTTTTGATGAAAAATAAATACAAAACAGTTGAAAATATATATGATTTTTATATGCAAATTATTTGCTTTTTATATGCACTTTTTAAAAATGCATGCATTTTTGAGAAAAGTGCATGTATTTTTCCCAAAAATGCATGCATTTTTAAAAAGTGCATATAAAAAGCATATAAAACGCATATAAAATGCATATAGAATACATACCAAATGTTGTACAAATTATATATTTATAGAAGAAAAATCATGCGTTTGATGGAAAGAGATCACACTTTGGCACAAAAGTCTGTTTCAAACAACTATGAACTATACATAGTTTAAGCTTTTCATTCTAATATCATTGATGCTTCAAACTATGAGCTGATGAGCAACTTCAGTCCTTTGGCTTCATAAACAAACCTGGATGAACAAACAACTTGTGACCTTCAGGTCAAATCCATTCCATTGTCCATGCAATGGTTGATGTCCTATTAAGCAATTGTGTGATACTTGTGTCAAACCATACCATATCACATAGACCCGGGCAAGCCGGCGGCGGAAGTTTCCCAAACATAAATGACCTATAGTTCAAAGACAACCTGTCCCGACCGTGTCCTTCCCTCGACACTCCACACCTCACACCTCACACTGCACACTGCACTCTTCGCACTCCAAACTTCACACTCCACACTTCACACTCCACACTTCTCACTTCTCACTTCTCACTGCTTCCGTCCCACTCCAAACCTCACACTTCACACTTCACACTGCACACTTCACACTTCACAGTCCACACTTCACACTTCACAATTCACAGTCCACACTTCACACTTCACACTTCACAGTCCACACTTCTCACTTCGCACTTCACACTTCACACTCCACATTTCACACTTCTCACTTCACACTTCTCACTTCTCACTGCTTCCTTCACACTCCAAACTTCCCACTTCTCACTTCGCACTCCAAACTTCAAACTTCACACTCCACACTTCTCACTTCTCACTGCTTCTTCACACTCCAA